GCAGGATGGAGGAATGGGCTGTGTGTCTGTGGTTGAACACAGACCACTCAGGACTGGCCCTGGGGGGACTTCCTGGGCGTGGAGAAGCCACATCTAGGAGCAAGGGACTCACATGAAGAGGCTGCCTACTCCCCTGCTGGGGGCTCCAGACCAGAGCCTTGAGGAGGCAGGGATGTCCAGCGGTTTATTCTCACACATGAGCCCCTGTGCTCTCCTCATGATAGCCAGGAGGGTCCAGACTCCCGCTTATGCTCTCAGAGCAGCGATTCTCCACGCCGGCTGCACATTAGGGCCCATCGGGTCCCACACCACAAGGACAGTACTGGACAGAGGCGCGGCACCCGTCCTTTTTCAGTGCTCCTTAGATGATACCAATATACAGCCAAGGTTGGGAACCAGCGTCCTGAACTCCAGGTTTATGTGGGAGACCCCCAGAACCTGATCCGTAGAGACCCCTTTGCAGGAAAGGGCTACTGGATGGTCCTTACAGCCCTTTCCTACCACTAGTCCTGCGAGGCCATCACAGCTCTTAACTCTGAGGGGACTGGGCCACAAGACACATAGGGGGCTGCTGTGTGGTCTGGATTTTTTTGAAGACGGTCTGTCCCGAGGGCTCACCTGTATCAAAGGATAGAACACTGGCCAGGCTGTGGGGTGACACTGTGCGAGAGGGAGACTCTGGGCCTACCTGGGCTTGCAGAGCACGGTCCGGCCTAGAACATAGTGTTTGTTTCCTGGAACTCACCAGAATCCAGCCTCAGGGAGCGCTGCCCCAGGCCGAGACGTCTGCCTTCCTGTTGGTGGTGGGATTAGCGGAGACAACTCCACTCATGTTGGTGTTCACGAGACGGACTTATTCTAATTCGGAACTGCTGACACTTCACATTTTGTAATCCTATGGGGTTTGTTTTGTTTTGTTTTGTTTTGTTTTGCGGTACACGGGACTCTCACTGTTGTGGCCTCTCCCGTTGCGGAGCACAGGCTCCGGACGTGCAGGCTCAGCGGCCATGGCTCACGGGCCCAGCTGCTCCGCGGCATGTGGGATCCTCCCGGACCGGGGCACGAACCCGTGTCCCCTGCATCGGCAGGCGGACTCAACCACTGCGCCACCAGGGAAGCCCTGTAATCCTATGGTTTTTATATTACTCTTGCTAATTCGTTTTCTCCTAATAACCAACCCATTCACCAAGAAGAATCCCAGAGGTTCTCACAACCTCGACTCTGGGAACTAAGCCAAACAACCACTGAGACCAAAGCAGAGTCTTGAACTGTCTTCTCCCTTGCATAGGCAGCCAGGGGACTCTTACCCCATGTTCCCCTTGAGCTCCTGCTGCGTCCTCCTACCCCCACTCTGCTTCTGCTGAGGCGCAGGAAGAAGGGTCAAGTCCCAAGCTATAATTACCGACTTCAGCTTTGGCGCGCTGGGGACGTCCAGTCTCCCGATAGTGGAACCATTAGAAGCACCCTTTGCCACACTGGTACCCTGGGCTGAACGTCACAACTCCAGGGCTTGGAGTACCTGGACAGGAGGAGTGGGCCTCACGTGTGACAGCCATGGAGACCTCACTCCCTGATTCTCAGATGCTGTGCTAGACCTGGACACAAGAAAATGGGCTTGATACCCTTCCTTCCAATGGGGAACACAGAGGAGCAGGCACGCGAAAGGGGCTTAGATAAGGACCATGACAGGAACACAGAAAGGCCCCTGGCCCCCTCAGGTGGTAGAGCAGAGGTGGGGCTGCCATCCAAGTCTGTCCTGAAGAAGTGTCAGCCTCACCAAGAACAGGTGGAAGGAGGCCCCAGGCAGACAGAGCGTGAATGAAGCCGCGGGATCCAGAGCGTGTGGGTCCTGTGGGTGAGGGGTGGAAAGTCACAAAAGCCAGGACCAAGGGCACCTCGGCTCTCTCTTCTGTGGTTCTGACTTACTGGCACTTGTAAGGCTGCACTCTGATGTAATTTTGTTGAAGTTTTAGGAACTCAGGATAGGTGTGTAGCGAAACTCATTTTTTTATTACTGGCTCAGAAAGAGGATTTTTCTTTACTGTGCTAATTCACATCTGAGGAGCTGGGGAGAGCTACCAGATCAAGTTTACATTGGTACACATTTCTCAACACCAGCCCTGCTAGATGTGTTTCAGTAAATCTAAGATAACATCGATTAGAAGACATTATTTGATATACCATTAAGAAAGAGAAATGGACGCAAATTAATTTTAAGATACCGCTGATCGATTACAAGATGAATCCTGTTTGGCCTGTTAAAATGTCTGAGGTCGATGTAGAAGGCACACAGCTCGCTTTGCACGAGCCTCATGGGTGCACAGACTGGTGTAGGCACAGCTTCGGGTGCCTTACTTACGTGCACAGGCCGGCTCCTCCAAAACCAGCTTTTGCGCACTCACCCCAGAGCAGGTGCTAGTAGTGGGGAGTAAGGCTTAGCGAAGTTGAATGACTCGCTCAAAGGCTGTGTAATTAGCAGGAAGCAAGACCAACTTCAGAACCAGGCCTCGAGTTCCATATGCTGACCGAGCTACTTCCCATCTCCAGGGAGAGGGACAGGGGCCCTTGTGCCCAGTCTTAGACTCCCGGGCCCATTTACTCCAAGATCACTGATGTGGTTCCTGCTTTCACCAAAGTTCCTGATCCCCCTGGGAGCAGCCCAGTCACCCTTCTGTCTCTGAGAGGCTGTCACGTCACTAAGCTGGGCTCCAAGGACACTGCTGCCCAGTAGCCCCATAGCAAGTTCTGTGACCTCTCAGACCCTAAGATGTCTTCAGGTCTGATGTAGGGGGGCCCTCTGGCTGTGGTGAACCCAGGAATGGCTAGAGTAGACTGATGTTTAGTGTTCTGGGCTCCAGGGCACCAGTCAAGACCCGGGTATTGTGGAAATTTAATTACAAGAGCGACACTGACTTCAGGGTCTGAAGGTGAACCCCTCTCGCAGGTCATGGAATTCCACATCAACCCCTAAAAACGAGTGATGCGAGCACCATAACTGACTCTGGAAAAATCAGTGCTCCAGGGCAACCTTTCCTGTTCCTGCACCTGACAGAGGCAATGGTCTATGGACACTGCGCAGGCAGTTCCAGAATTCCTCAGTTGCTTGACTGTGAGTCCTCCACGGCAGTCCTGCCTGGGGCTGCCCGAGGGCGACCTCTTGCTCAAGGTCTGTTACATTCAGTCTTCAGACTGGTCTGTTTTCAGAACTTTAAATATACTGGGCAAATGTTGGATGTGATTTCGTAGTTTCTTAGGTCCTAGGGATATATGGAATAACTTTCCTGATTACTAAGCAGTTATTAATCGATCTTGGATCCTGCATCCTTTTGAAAATCTGTTGAAAGCTATGAACTCTTCCTCCCCTCTCCCTTCCAAAAAAAGCACACACCTAATTTTCAGGAACTGAGTGACTGAACCTTATCTTTGGACAATGGACAGACCCAAAGTAAAGAATCCTTAGGAACCACTAAAGTAGGGAGCCGCTAAAGCTGGCTTCCCTGTTTCAGATTTCAGGGATAGCTTGAATCAATTTTTAAAGGAACTGGTTGATAGTCAACAATTGTTAAGAGAGATTTCCAGTGCCTGAACTTGGGACCCAGGAATATCCTGGGTGAAATTCCTACAGTGCTAGAGAGGCAACTGGGTAGTCTTCATGGCTCTAGGGGGAAAAAGTAAAGAGAGGTATTGGTATTTCCAGGTGAACCAACATCTTAATATTTGTGTTATTTAATGATCCACGAAGAAATGAATTTGTAGTGCCTGAGGATTAGACACTCTTTTTGAGTTTCAGAAGTGAAAAGGTTTAAAGTGAATTTATTAGCAAAAGATTAGGTTTCGGGCTTCCCTGGTGGCGCAGTGGTTGAGAGTCCGCCTGCCGATGCAGGGGACATGGGTTCGTGCCCCAGTCCGGGAAGATCCCACATGCCGCGGAGCGACTGGGCCCGTGAGCCGTGGCCGCTGAGCCTGCGTGTGCGGAGCCTGTGCTCCGCAACGGGAGAGGCCGCAGCAGTGAGAGGCCCGCGTACCGCAAAAAAACAAAAAAAAAAGATTAAGTTTCCTGAGTTCCAGCACTTCTTCCAGCCTCCGTTTCACACATCAGAGCCAGGTTCCCGGAACACAGGGGCAACTTTCTGAACATCAGGGGAGCAGTAGTTGGAGCATCCTGGGGCCAGAGAAGGGGCTGACAGCCTTGGAACCCAAAAAAGGGTTCCAGTCCAGGGGGCTCCCTTTCCGAGTCTGGGAGGAGGAGTTCAAGGAATAGAGAGAAGCTCCTGGTTACCACCCGGGGGACTGATTTTCCTGGAATCACAAAATACAGAGGGCAGGAGGCCCTAGGGCCCAAGCAGAGATTCCCAGAACTAGTGGCACAGCTGGGATTGGGGTCTGAGGCACAGAGAGGTGACCCTGGCCCTTGGTAAGAGCCAGCACAGACAAAGGTTCCAGCTGGAGACTCAGCAGAGGAGGAGCTCCACGTTCTGGCTCATGGTGTCACGTGGGCCACGGATGGTGCCAGGGAGGAGGCCTGGCCCTGGAGGCATGGAAGTGAGATGAAGGGCTGACACCCAGGGGCAAGGCTGGGGGTGAGCCCGGAAGCTGTGGAAGTTTGGGGGAGATGAACGGCCAGGAAGCTGAGGCACAGAGCTAAGGGCACCGGCGTCCCCATCAGCTCCGCTCTGCCGATGCAGGTCTGTGGGCTGGGCAAGCTGCTTAACTGCTCTAGGCCTCCTTGCCACGTCTCTAAAATGGGGGTAACGATGGAGGTACTTTGGAGCCCCTGTGAAGATGCTTAGTTCGGTTTTCCAGTAACAGCCTGAAGAATGGATCTCTGCTTAAAGAGAGGGGACGTGGTGGCATTTTTAAAGACACCTCTCTCGGGTGTCCACTATTTCAGATGTTGTAGCAAGCAACCCCCTCAGACAGACACTGTGATCCTCTTGGAGGAAACAGAAAAATTAAAGCACAGAGAGGAAACCACCCATTACTATCATTTGTGCATTCACTAGTTTCATTCATTCAACACACATTTATTAAGTGCCTGCGGTGTGCCAGGCCCTGGGGGTACAAAGTTGGGTAGTGTACAGCCCCTGCTCTCAAGGAGCTCACAGGTCTAGGGGAGAGGCAGACACGTGTACAGGTAAGTCACGCTGCGCGTGCTGAGTGTTGCGACAGAGGTGTGAACGGAGCGCTGTGGGCGCACGAGAGCCAACAGGAACCCCCCCCGAGGCAGGGTCGGTCAACACTGAGTAGCACAGTAGCCCCTGCCCACGGCGGGCCCTTTCCTCAGCGGGCAGGACCAGGTCACCGAGGCCGATGCTGAGGCTCGCTGGAGGGAAGGCCGACCTCTGCCTCCTCAGGGCAGCGCCCCAACCCTGTCCCCGGCACCAGCTGCCCGGGCTGCAGCGCTCAGGAGCCACTCTCCACTCCAGAGGCAGAGAACGGGGAGCAGCTGTACGAAAGGCCAAGCCACCAGGGGCCTCGAAGTTCAGAGACAAAGGACAAGTTACTGCTTGTGTCTACCCCTCCTGCCCCAGGCTTCTTATACTCCCGAGAGCATCTCTGAGCTGATCTGTGAGGTCACATCCTTCCCTGACACTGCGTAGGCCACTCCAGACCTGGGCCCCGTCCGTCACTTGGCTCCCCTCTCAGGAGCTGGGCACAGCCCCACGTGGACACCCCCATCAGAACAGGCTGCTCGCGGCGGGCCTCTGGCAGCTGGACTCCTTTTCTTTCGATGCTTCACAGCCGTCGTACCAGCTCGATGAGCTGCTGAATGTTCTTGTTTTGGTTGGACAGGCCATTCCGGATGTTTTCCAGCAGGCATCTCTTCAGTTCAAAAATGGCCTCACTGTACCCCAAGCTCACAGCGGCCATGGGGGGCACTCCATGCCACAGGCCGGGGATGTGCCAAATGTGCTGCTTCTCAGGGTCACAAAAGGCCAGGCCAGCCAGCGTCCGGATCCCGCCACCCTGATGCTCCATTTGCACCGTGGCTCTGCTCGCATCCCTGGGCTCGTCCAGGAGCTGCTTCCTCTCTCTCGGCTTGGAGCCGGGGGCAGACGCATCCTGCAGGCTCTGGTACACAAACTGATAGTTGGGCATGTGCCCTGTTTTCTCCAGCCTCAGAAACGCATGCAGAATAGCCGGCGGAATGTCCCTCGTTTCAGCTAAACTGACCACAGTGACATTGCTCAGCCCCATAATCAACGTGGCCAGGGAAGCCTCTTGCTCAAACCTCTCCCCTGCCTCGGTCAGGACTCCGCCTATCAAGCCCCCGGAGTGGATTACCAGGATGTGGTCACAGCCCAGGTCCTGGCTGAAGCTCTCGGCCACCGTCAGGAGCTGCATGAAGGCCCCTCGAGGACCACGGCCCCTTCCCGTGGCAAACCGCAGCCCAAACATGGTGTTGAGGAGGGTGGACTTGCCTGTGCCCGGCACGCCGAGCACCGACAGGACGACCAGGCGCGACCTCCTCTCCAGGCGGACGTGCAGCTCCTTCAGGAGCCCCGTGACCCAGCGCAGGGGGGTGCTCAGGGTGTTCCCGTCGATCAGCTCCAGGGGGAGCCCCTTCAGCAGCAGTTCCAAGGCCAAGCCTGGGAAGTGCGCGAACCGCCTCTGCCCCGCCGGCAGCTTCCCGGCCTCCACGAGACAGCTTTCGGCCTCGTAGAACTGCCCCATCTCCCGCAGGAAGTGTTCCACCCCCAGGGGCTCCGGCCAGAGGGGCTCGCTGAAGTCCACGGCCCCACGGTGCTTTGCTCTCAGGGTAAGCATCGTCTCCGGAGACGCTCTCGGCCTTGGCTGGGCCGCCCGGGCCAGTCCCCACTCCATCCACCTCAGGAAGTACTGCTTCTCGCCCAGAGAGGGGCTGCTGATGCCCGAGATGAACTCCTGAAGCCCCCAGGCAGGATCGTGGCCATTCTGCTGCGTTCGAAGTTCCAGCAGCCGATGCCTCAGCTCAGCCCTGCACCTCTCAGGAGGGTCCCCAGCCCACTGGGCCTGGCAGAGCTCCCTCTCCACCTGGGCCGCCTTTCTCCAAGGGTCCCCCTGCAGCCGCAGCTCGGCCCGGCGGTAGGCGTCCGAGTCCTTGATCTTCCTGGTGATCTGCTCCATCCGGTCCTTCGCCCGCTGGCACTCGTCGCAGTCCTCATCGACCTTCAGCCCCAGCTTGCGGGCCGCATGCGCCATGTCCTCCACGGATACCCTCCTGCAGGGGGCCCGGGTCACGTGCGCCACGATGGCGCGGATCCGGCGCACGAAGCCCGCACTGTCCGTGCTGCTGACCTTCACCAGGACGTGCGAGGGGTCCATCTTCAGCACAGGGATTAACCTGTTCAGAAAACGCAGGTTTGTGTTCCGTTTCCCGCGGTAGGGGCTCAGGATGAAGTAGTATTTCGTGGCCGACCCCTTCATGGAGTACAGCAGTTTGTATTCCTTCTTACTGATGTTGTCAGTCAAGATGAACACGGCCGAGGAGATTTCTGTCAAGAGCTTAAACTGCAGCCAGTGAGAGCCGATGTCACCTCTCAGGTTCAGAAAGGCCACGGGCTCCGGGAAAATGTCCAAGTCCTCCCTGCCACTGGGAAGAAACCAGGAAATTTCCACCAGCCCGTCTGCAATCTCCCGAGGGTTGGTGCCCAAGTTCAGATCCCGATGCCAGAAACAGTCCCGCTGCCTGTGGCCAGGGCTGAGCACGGCGTTGAGAAGCTGGGACTTGGAGTTGCTGCTGACCTCCATGCGCACAAAGGCGAAGGCGGGCGCTCGGGACAGGACCACGCTGTCTTCTCTGAAGCTGCCCACCGCCCTTGGGGGCTGTGACCCCCATGTCCGCACAGTCCCCCTCATGGCCCACAGCAGAAACGTGTGGTAGTGGTTTTCTGGGTCGGGCAAAACGAGAGGGAGTGCAAACTGGCAGAGGGACATTTTTAGCACGATTTCTTGTTGCAGGAAACTATCTGAGGAAAGCAGAAGGGCACAGAGAAGGTCTAAGGGGTTCACAGGCGTATCGGGTGTTGGCAGCTCGGAGAAGGAATAGATGTCCGCAGAGATGTCGTCGGCCGTGTCCCAGTAGATGATCTCCTCTTCCACCTGGCTCTCCTTCTCCGCAGGCCTGGTGTCCGGGGGTACGTCCAGCACCATGGTGGTGTTCCTGGCTTCGGCGTTGAGGGCCTGCAGCTTCCTGAGGAAATTCCAGGGCAAGTCTTTGGGAGCCTGTGGAGCCCAGTTCTTCATGCTATCACTACTGATCTGCAGGGAGTCCTGGAGGCTGAGTTTCTGTGCCTGGTACGTCTCTAGTCCCAGGAGGGACAGCATTTCTTGTAGTCTGCTCCTCTCCACTGTGGAGAGAAATGAAGATATCAGCGCTTACCCTGCGTGTCAGGGACCCAGGTTAGAGGTGGGGAGGGGAGAGCCCAGCCTGGCGTGTAGGAGGTGGCCTCCTTCAGGGTAAAATGCAGGCACCCCTAGGCCACCTGAGACCAAGACAGAAGCACCATCACCCACCCCAGATCCAAGTGGGGTCGGAAACATGTGACATGGGAGAGGGAAGAGAAAAGGACGTCTGGGGGCAACAGTTAAGAATTGGGAGGAAATGTCTGGTTTCTCTTGAAACCTCTGAGATTCAGCAACACCAATCCCAAATTTAATTGGCTAGAGTGAGCAGCTGTGCACCCTAGATGTGGAACACAGGCCCCATTCTCTGGCCACGCCTCCGCTCCCTCCAAGATACTCCTGTGCTTCTGGCCCAGCAGTGGACTCCCTAACCCTGTCACCAGGAATTTCCCACGGGGGACACAATCACTGATTCACTGTGGTTTTCTGGTTAATGTTCTCTGCTCTTTACAGACAAGCTGGAAAATGTGTAAAGGAAACAGGGAGTTACTACTGGGTACAGAGTAACAGAAATCACAGATAAATAACATTTTGCAAAACTGAAGCCACTGATAAAAATACTTGGTAGAGATTATCACAAGTCTGTACTTATTTGTTCAGATTTTCAACCATAACATCCAATACAGTAAGAATTCTTACAAGCACTAGATGCTCAGAACAGTAAGGCCACCTGCAAAGGTTTCATCCACCGACCCCGTTCTTGGCCATGGCATCTTACCAATTTTCATTGCATATAATTTCCTGCATATAATTAGTAAACTTTAAATGGTAAGTCTATTAACAAAATAAATCAATACAAATCCTGCTGAGCTCCAGGATTCTCTCCATTCTTTTCTCGAAAGAGGAAGCTACTATGCCTGTGCTGCTACCTTAAATGTGGATATAAACCACAGGAGGAAGCGCAGATGATCAGCCCTCTTCTTGTTTCCCAGGAAGTCATATGATGGGTTCGGGACCGTGCCTGGTGAACGGCAGGACTCAAAGCACTGGAAAAGAGGTGTCTCGTTCCCCTGTAGGGGTCCACTTGCTGCCTAATGTCTCTCTTCAGAAACTCCACACTCCACAGGGGCTGAGAGAGTTCTATGGGCTGTGCCACCACCCCAGAGAGTACAGGAGCTGGCAAACTTGTTGCAGAAACTAAAGAACTCTATGGAGAGGGAGACTGTAGTAGAAATCCATCATATAAGTAACTCGGGTTTCTGAGTGTTGCCTGCATGAAACCAGGGACACTGTTTTTCTTATCCAGACAGAGAACAACTGTTCTTACGTAGCATGGTAGCTAAGCGCAACAGGGAAAAGCCAGAGCAAACAAACCTATTAATATATGCACTCACGCCCAGTCCGGGACCCTTGGCGGATCTATTATTGAAACCACTGGATCAGACGAAAGATTCCCAAACTTGGATGTGCTTTCGAATCACTTTGGGAACTTGTTAAAAATAAGATTTCTGGGCTTTACTTCCAAAGATACAAACTCTCTGTGTTAACGCTGTATGGTAACAGGTCCCCGGGGAGTTGTCTCTCTGGCAATATTATTTATGGCACATAAAGGGTTAATGGACTAGCAGTGATTTTGATGCAGTCACAGGGGTTGGAACTACCGGCCCAGGTGATGTCTTCCTTCAATAGGACAGGCAACGAGAACAGAGAGAAGAAACATACCTGTTGGAAAGTCACTGTCCTGAGCCTCATTGGGACCATCTAAAAAAAGCAAAGGAAAATGAAGTGTCAATCAAATCAGGTGGCTTGAATTGACACAAATTAATTTAAGCTAAACTCAGAACCCTCTCTCTTCCTTAATAAGGTAGCAACCTCTCCCAATTGTTCAAAATCTAAAATCCCAGTTATTGTTCACTTTGCCCTCTTTCCCCAGTCCAATCTGGTGCCAGATCCTGTAGTTTCTCCCTCCATAATGAAACTCACCATCATCTCCTTCCATTTCTCTCCATTCCAAATCTGGAAGAAAAAGACATACGCACACAGTTAGTTTCATCAGCAAGTTAGGACCCTCCTATCAAAAAGTTCAAGTGGGGGCTTCCCTGGTGGTGCAGTGGTTGGGAGTCCGCCTGCCGATGCAGGGGACACGGGTTCGTGCCCCGGTCCGGGAAGATCCCACATGCCGCGGAGCGGCTGGGCCCGTGAGCCATGGCCGCTGAGCCTGCGCATCCGGAGCCTGTGCTCCGCAACGGGAGACGCCACAACAGTGAGAGGCCCACGTACCACACACACAAAAAAAAGTTCAAGTGAAGATATGGTAGCTAATGTTTATTTTGAGTACTATTATTAGCTTCGGTTTTTCCTACGTAAATTTCATTTGTTGACAACCCCAAATATGACACAAAGTTGTAATAGCTACACACAAAATAATGATTTGCTCTAGGATATACTCCTTGTAAAATTTACTAAATTTTGTGAAAATAAAATATAAATAACTTCATGAAACATACATAGATTAATCTTTGATTTTAGAAACTATTTAAAATATAAGTTGATATAAGTTCTTTGGTTTAATTTCAAGATTACCTCCTACAAACTTTATTTTTATTCTAGCATAAGGAGTTCCTGTTATCACTTAAAATGATGCACATATATGGGGGGAGGGCATAGAGTGGGGAATAGCTATAACTCACAAGTAGACGTACTTGTTCAGAGTCTCTAACAGCATAATGTATTCATCAACACTAAGTACTTTTAATTACTGGATTATTTAATTTAGTGCTCTTCAGATATTTACGTCGGGAAAAAAGACCATAAAACTCTAGATTTGCCAGCAAAAGGGGAATGATGGGAGCAAGACTTCTCTGTACATATTTTTATTGTTTCAACTTTTGATCCAAGTAAAAGTATCACCTATTTCAAAATTAAAATTGTACTTTTAAAAGCTTATGAATCAGGAAAAAATTCTGACAGTTTCAGATTTATTCTCTCATGATTTCCATATAATCAGATAGATAAACAATTCAGTCGTCTTTGATGACATCTCTGGGAGATACACATGAAGAGCTGGAAAGAGAAAAACAAGAGAAGAGGAAGGGGGCTTTGGAGAACATGAGCATGAACATACTAGAGAAGACACAGATGATTCATACAGATTGAACCACAGTGTTGAGCAGTCAAAAGATTATTTTATTCACAGTGGACAAAAGACATCACAAGAATTTTTCCAAGGAGCCTAAAATGCCATCTGAGAAGGTACAATGGTTAAAGACGAGAACGGAACACCTAGAGAAGCCTGAGATGGGATCAAGATGGCTCCGAGAGAGTGGTTTTGAGCTGGAAGCAAGGAATAAACTTCAGACTCAAAGGAGAGAGGGCCTTGCTCTGCTAGTAACAGGAGACAGCTCTGATTTGGAACAGAGAGATAATAGGTGGATAAAGTCAAGGATGCACAAAGTGGCCGAAGGTTACGCTGTCAGACTAAGGAAATCGCTGATGAGGGGTGGGAGAGCTTCTGAGTAGAGAGCACTGGAAGCCATGATAACCACTGGTCACCAGCAGACTACAGAAGAGGAGGCACAGGGCTTCAGCCAAGGACACAAGCCAGCAGCAAATACAGGAGGCCAGCAAGGGCTTGGTACTGTGGGCCAAGGTCTCCGCTATATTTTCTGTTGGACAAGAACTGGTCAGGGTGGAACAGGCTTGGGTTCCAACCCAGTGGGGATGTTGGGCTCAAATGGAACACAAGGGGCAGAATGTGGACAGGACCTACCACTGAAAATGAACTCTAAGTGGGGCAATTAAAACCATCTCAGCCATCAAATTGAATGACTGTTTTTTTCAATTATAAAAGTAGCCAGTACTCACGTTGTAGAGTTTTTCACCACATTTTGGAATGTTTGTTATTGGGCAGTAAATGGACATTTAAGACACTATTTGACACCTTGGGGCTGTTAGTGTTAAGAATGAGCTATGGACACCGACATGCAAAAGAATGAAGTTGAACTCCTACCTCACACCACATATAAAAATTAACTCAAAATGTATCAGTGACCTAAATATGAGCTAAAACCATAAAACGCTTAGAGGAAGACATGAGGGTAAATCTTCATAACCTTGAATTTGACAACGGATTCTTAGGTATGACACCAAAAGCACAGGCCACAAAAGAAAAAACACATAAACTGGACTTCATCAAAGTAAAAACCTGTGTGCATCAAAGAACATTATCAAGAAAGTGAAAGACAACCTACAGAGTGGAGAAAATATGTGCAAATCATATGTGATTGGGTCTAGTATCTAGAATACATAAACAATTCTTACAACTTCATAACAAAAAAGACAAAAAAAACTCAATTAAAAAATGGGCAGGGCTCCCCTGGTGGCGCAGTGGTTGAGAGTCCGCCTGCCGATGCAGGGGACACGGGTTCGTGCCCCGGTCCGGGAAGATCCCACATGCCGCGGAGCGGCTAGGCCCGTGAGCCATGGCCGCTGAGCCTGCGCGTCCGGAGCCTGTGCTCCGCAACGGGAGAGGCCACAACAGTGAGAGGCCCGCGTACCGCTAAAAAAAACCCAAAAAAAAAACCAAAAAAAAATGGGCAAAAACTTGAATAGACATTTCTCCCAAAAGATATACAGATGGCCAACAAGCACATAAAATGATGCCCAAATTCATTACTCACTAGGGAAATCAAATCAAAACCACAGTGAGATACCACTGCACACCTACTAGGATGGTGATTTTTAGAAAGGGATAGAGGGGCTTCCCTGGTGGCACAGTGGTTGAGAATCTGCCTGCCAATGCAGGGAACACGGGTTCGAGCCCTGGTCTGGGAGGTTCCCACATGCCGCGGAGCAACTGGGCCCGTGAGCCACAACTACTGAGCCTGCGCATCTGGAGCCTGTGCTCCGCAACAAGAGAGGCCGAAATAGTGAGAGGCCCGCGCACCGCGATGAAGAGTGGCCCCCACTCGCCACAACTAGAGAAAGCCCTCGCACAGAAACGAAGACACAACACAGCCAAAAATAAATAAATTTATAAAAAAATAAAAATAAAAAAAATTTTTAAAAAAGGGATGGAAAATAACAAGTATTGACAGGATGGGGAAAAACTGGAACCCTTGTACCTTTCTGGTGGGACTGTAAGTTGTGCAGCTGCTGGGGAAACAGTTTGGCTGTTCCTCAAAAAGTTAAACACAGACTTACCATTTGACTGAGCAATTCCATCAGAGGTGTATACCCAGAAGAAGTGAAAACAGGGACTCAAACAAGTACAGGTACATGCATGTCCATAGCATCACTGTTCACAATAGCCAAAATGTGGAAACAACCCACATGTCTGTCAACAGATGAATGGATAAACAAAATGTGGTCTATCCATGCAATAGAATATTATTCAACCTTAAAAAGGAACAACATGGACGAACCCTAAAACACTATGCTGGGTGAAAGAAACTAAACAAAAAAGGGCCCATATTGTACGACTCCATTTATAGGAAAATACAGAATAGATAAACAAAGGCTTAACATAGGTTGGTGGTTCCTATAGGGACTGGGAGGAAGGAGGGATGGGAGAAACTGCTTAATGGATACACAGTTTTACTTTCAAGTGATGGAAATGTTTTGGAAATGAATAGATAAGTGGTGATTTTACAACTTTGTGAATGTACTAAATGTCATAGGATTATTCGCTGTAAAATGCTTTTTTCCCCAATATTTTTCCTTTTTAAAAATTGTGTTAAAATACACATAATATAAAATTTACTATCTTAAACATTTTTAAGTGTATAGATCAGTGGCATTAAATATATTCACATTGTTGCACAGCCATCACCACCATCCATCCCCATAACTCTATTCATCTTGTACATACGGAATTCTATACCTATTAAACAATAACTCCTCAATCTCCCCTCTCCCCAGCCCCTGGCAACCACCATTATATTATACTTTCTGACTTTATGATTTTGTCTACTTAAGTCACATAAGTGGACGCATACATTATTTATCTTTTTGTGACTGGCTTCTTTCACTTAGCATAACGTTCTCAAGGTTCATCCATGCTGTAGCATACCGTAGAATTTCCTTCCTTTTAAAGTCCGAATAATATTCCGTTGTATGTATATACCACATTTTGGTAATCCATTCATTCACTGATGGACACTTAGGTTGCTTCCATGTTTTAGTTATTGTGATTAATGATGCTATGAACCTGGGTATACAAATATCTCTTTGAGACATTGCTTTTGATTTTTTTGGGTATATACCCAGATGTGGAATTGCTGGATCATAGGGTAGCTCTATTTTTAATTTTTTGAGGAGCCTCCATACTGTTTTCCACAGTGGTTTCACCATTTTACATTTCCACCAACAGTGCACAAGGGTTCCAATTTCTCCACATCTTTGCCAACCCATGTTCTTTTCTGTTTTTGTTTTTGTTTTTTTTTTTGCGGTATGCGGACCTCACACTGTTGTGGTCTCTCCCGTTGCGGAGCACAGGCTCCGGACGCGCAGGCTCAGTGGCCATGGCTCATGGGCCCAGCCGCTCCGCGGCATGTGGGATCTTCCCAGACCGGGGCACGAACCCGTGTCCCCTGCATCGGCAGGCGGACTCTCAACCACTGCGCCACCAGGGAAGCCCTTCTGTTATTTTTATAGTAGCCATCCTAATGGGTGTGAGGTGGTATCTCACTGTAGTTTTGATTTGCATTTCCCTAATATAATTAGTGATGTAGAACATCTTTTAGACTGCTTATTGTCTATTTGTATATCTTCTTTGGAGAAATGTCTATTCAAGGACTTTGCCCATGTTTGAATCAGGTTTTTTTTTTTATTGTTAAGTTTTAGGAGTTCTCCATATATTCTGATATTAATCCCTTATCAGATATATGATTGCAAGTATTTTCTCCCACTCTGTGGGCTGCTTATACTCTGTGGATAGTGTCTTTTTGATGCACAAAATTTTTAAATTTCCATGAAGTCCAATTTGTATATTTTTTCTTTTGTTGCAGGAGCCTTTGGTGTTACGTCCAAGAAATTGTAGCCATATCCAAATTCATGAAGCTTTTGTCCAATGTTTTCTTCTAAGACCGAGTTTTCAGTCTTACATTTAGGATTACATTCATCCATTATGAGTTAATTTTTGTATACAGTTTTAGGTAAGAGTCCAACTTCATCTTTTGCAAGAGAATACCCAATTTTTCCAGGACTATTTGTTAAAAAGACTGTCCTTCATCCATTGAATGGCCTTGGCACCCTTGTCAAACATCATTTGACTGTATATGCAAAGGTTTATTTGTGAGCTTCCTATTCTGTTCCATTGGTCTGTATATCTGTCTTTATGCCAATATCACATTGTTTTGATTACTGTAGCTCTGTAGTAGGTTTTGAAATCAGAAATTGTGAGCCTCTAGTTTGTTCTTCTTCAAGATTGTTTTGGCTATTCACTGTCCCTTGAGATTCCATATGATTAGAATGAATTTTATATTTTTGCAAAAACTGTCATTGGGTATTTGATAGGAATTGCACTGAATCTGTACATTGCTTTGGGTAATATTGACAGTTTAACAATGTTAAGTCTTCTGCGGGGAAAGGCAAGATAGGGGTAGGGGATTAAGAGGTACAAACTACTATGTATAAAATAAATAAGCTACAAGGACATATTGTACAGCACAGGGAATATAGCCAATATTTTATAATATCTATAAATGGAGTATATAACTTTTAAAAATTGTGAATCACTGTTGTACACCTGAAATTTATATAATATTGTAAATCAACTATACCTCAATAAAACAAACAAACAATATTTAGTCTTCCAGTCCATGAACTTGGTAACTCTTTCCACATATTTATATCTTCTTTAATTTGTTTGAAAAACGTTTTATAATTTTATTGTACAACTCTTTCACCTCCTTATTTAAGCTAATTCCTAAGTATTTTATTCTTTTTGACACTATTGTAAATGAAATTGTTTTTGTATTTTCCTTTTCAGGTTCTTCATTTTAGTATAAAAATGCAATTGAGTTTTGTGTGTTGGATTTGTATTCTGCTACTCTGCTGAATTCATTTATTAGTTCTAATAACTTTATGTGTGGATCTTCAGGAGTTTCTATGCATAAGGTCTTATCATCTGCAAAGATAATTTTACTTCTTCCTTTCCAATTTGGATGCCTTCTTCTTGCCTAACTGCTCTGGCTAGAACTTCCAGTACTAGATAGAATAGAAGTGGTAAAAGCGGGCATCATTCCCTTATTCCTGATCTTAAAGGAAAAGCTTTCTGTTTTCACCATTAATGTTTACTGTGGGTTGTTCATATAAGTCTTTTATTATGTGAAAGTAGTTTCCGTCTCTTCCTACTTTGTTGAGTGGTTTTTTTGTGTGTGTGATGAAAGGACATTAACTTTTGTCAAATGATTTTTCTGCATCAGTTGAGGTGATCACGTGGGTTTTTTTCTCCTTCATTTTGTTGATGTGGTATAGTACACAGGTCTATTTTCATATTGTTAAATCATCCTTGCAATTCAGGAATAAATCCCACTTGGTCATGGTGTATCATCCTTTTAATATATTGCTGAATTCTGTTTGAATATTAGTGTTTTGTTGAGGATTTTTGCATCAATGTTCATAATGGATATTGGCCTGTAGTTTTCTTTTCTTGTAGTGTCTTTATTTCGACTTTGGTGTCAGGATTATGTTGGCCTTAGGAATGAGTTAAAAAATGTTCCCTCCTTTTCAATTTTTTGGAAAAGTTTGAAAAGGGTTGGTATTAGTTCTTCTTTAAATGTTTGGTAGAATTCACCAGTGAAGCCATCAGGAGCAGGGCTCTTCTTTGTTGCAAGGTGGT